GACCTGGCAACCTTCTCCCTGAGAGGCAACAGCTCTATCAACTGTACCACTGTGCCACCTTCCGTGATCATGTGACTTTACATTATTTTGTGCATTATTATTGTTGGGTTGATTAGAGTTTTTAAGGGAGAATGAACTGAACTGTTAAAATTGTATTAATTTAAATTGTGGTTAAACTACTTGACTTGAAATAAATGTTTTGTCTGGTTGGAGGAGCTGTAGATGGAGAGTAGCTGCCGACACTGAGGAGGCAGAGAGGGACTGTGTACGGTGGTTACAGAGAAGGTAAGATGTACTGTGTGTAGTTTTACACGGAAGGCGAGTGTTTCTCCATCTTTGTGATAAAAATAAATGCTGGGTTGTTTTGAAGTCTCATCTTGACAGTGAATGTTTTGGTGGACTTTCATTCAGACTCAAGAAACGTTTGCGTGGAGAAGAACCGTGGGACACATTCATTCACACACCTGCATGTTCTTCAAACACAATAATCAAGTGAACTCTGGCGTTCGACATAAAGTCCTTTCTTACGTCATTTCTCATATTTGTAATGTTTTGACATTTTCCCTTCTGTTTGATTTAAAACCCTTTTGCACATTTAAAACTGTTTTTTCAGCTTGCTGTAACAGCTTTAGATTTAACTTCATATATTCATTTTTTCTTATTATTTAGCTAGTCATCTTTTAGACTAGTTAATAATAATAAAATAACTGTTAAACACTGGATTGTTGTCTCTTTCTCAGTCAAATTAAAACTGCACAAACACACACATTTGTCACACAATGACACACAGAACAGCTGTTTTTATTAAGAATTATGAGGAGGATTTGCTTTTCTGTTGTTGTATGTTAACTCTGACTAAATCCTTAATGTAAAAAGGAAAATTGGCTTTTTTTTTTCCAGAGTTAAATCTGAATTTAAACAATATTCAGGTCAACTAAACTGCAAACAGCACCAAAGCTTATGTTACTGAAAGAGACAACTATAAAAAAAAACATTAAAATATGTTGGCCTTGTGTTTTAGCATAAACATCATGCTTTTAATTAGGAGTTGCATACAGATTACTGTACATTTATAAAGCAAATATGGAGTAAATGTAGGTGACACATGGGGAAATCAAAAAGCTGCAGATTTCATTAGTGTAACCATTTTTTTGTCATTGAAGAATAAATGTTCACTTTTCACAACAAACGCTGACTCTTCTGTAAAGAATTGAACAAAAACATCACGTTTAACTGAAATAAAATGTTGACTGAAACATAAATTAAAAAGTATAAGTTTATACAAGCGTTTTGTTTAAAACAGTGCGTTGAAGCTTATCTCATTAAGTCCTCCAGGAAGGAAAAGGGTGACCCTGTCCTCACAGAAGTCCTGATGGTACTGATAATTGTTATTTGGAGTTCACGCAGTCACATTCTGCATGAACTTTATCACCGTGAGAAAATCTCTGAAACATGTGACGTCTAACCGCTCTGTCGAACTGAAGAAAGCTGTCATCAGTAAACGTGTGCAAAACATGGAGATGTTTGAGTGTAACTTTTTCCAGACTTTTTGCTGCTAATGGCCACTTAAATAAACTTTAATTTCACTCTCTGATAATAAAAACGTATCCAGAGCCTCCACTAATCATACGGAAGCCATTTTAGGTTGAAAGGTCGTAAGAAAAAAGAAAAATGATAAAAATAAACCTGTTCTGACGTCTAAAAACAAGAAAAAATGAATTGTACTAGCACATGCAGTTGTACTTCAAAGAACTGCCAATTAGACAATGTAAAAACATGCACGTTTCAGCCTCATGTGCAAACAGCTGTAACACCAGCAATGACTATTTTACTCATAATGTAGAAAAAACAGTCAGTAATCGAGAGTCACTGCCTCAGATTGTGACTGCATCAAATACTGATCAATGTTTCTTAAATTAAACTGTTTTTTTTGTCAAATCTACCTTCGTGTGCACAAAATTCACATCTATGTTGTTTATGAAGATACCCGCTGTGCTAATTGCATGTACTTGTACTAGATAAATTATATGAAGAAAAAGCTAAAGGTGCTTTTATATGTTCTCGAGCTCGCTGGATTGAAGAAAGGGAGAAAAATACATCTTGTTTTTTCAACCTGGAAAAACATAAGCAACTAAAAAAGAAGATCACTAAATTGAATATAAATGGATCTGTTTCTGAAGATGAAACTCAGATTAATGGAGAATTACATAATTTTTACAGTAATTTATATAAATCCAACTACTCTGAGACAAACTGTTCAACATTTATAAACACCATAAGCGAATTCAATAAAGTAACTGATCTAGATTTAAAACAATTTATGGAAAAACAAATTGAACTTGAGGAGTTGGATAAGGCTATTTTGAAGATGTCTACTGAGAAGTCGCCTGGCTTGGACGGGCTAACAACTGAATTTTATAGATTCTTTTGGAAAGAGATTAGAGAGATGCTTTATAAAGCTTTCTTATCTCATCAGGTAACCTCTCTAATACTATGAAACAAGGGATAATCACCTTAATTCCAAAACCTAATAAAGATGTGCAAATGCTGGGTAACTGGAGACCCATCACTCTGCTATGCACAGATTATAACATTTTAGCTCATGTTTATGCTGATCGGCTGAATAGAGGACTTAAAGATATAATTGATGAAAGTCAATCAGCCTTTGTTAAAGAGAGAAATATACACAATCATATTAGACTGGTCCTTGATATGTTGGATTATTGTGACTGCCTTGATAATTATAGTCTCATCCTGTTTCTTGATTTTTACAAGGCATTCGACACAATTGAACACGCTTTTTTGTTAGAGACTTTTAAGGTTTTTGGGTTTTGGTGATTCATTTTGTGGATTAATTAGGATGTTTTATAATGATATCTATAGCTCAGTCTCTATAAATCCAGGACTTACTTCTAGATTTAAGATCCAGCGAGGCATCTGTCAGGGTTGTCCTATTTCCCCAAAACTGTTTATCTTGACTACTCAGTTACTAGCCCTTCAAATTAATAGCAAGCCTGAGTTAAAGGGAATTAACATTTTTGATAGAGAATACAAGATTAGTCAATTTGCCGATGACACAGCATTGTTTTTAAAAAATGATTTAATGGTTGAAAGAGCCCTAAATACAATTTCATTATTCTCTAAGGCTTCAGGTCTAGGACTAAACATTAACAAATGTGAGATCCTTCCCATTCATAATTGTATTCATCAAAACATCCAGTCAATCAGAGTCGTACATGAAGTTAAATATTTGGGTGTACTAGTATCTAAGAACGCAGTTAGAAGGGAAGATGAGAACATCTCAAACCGCTTAGTGGGTATGAAACAAAGTCTCAGCCGTTGGTTGACAAGAGATCTGACTATTTTTGGAAGGAACCTGTTGACTAAAGCAGATGGCATTTCCAAGGCTGTTTATCCATGTCATTCTATGTATATATCACCACAAAACATAAGAAAAGCCAACTCCATTATCTTTCAGTTTTTGTGGAAAAATAAGACTCATTATGTTAAAAGGTCCCAACTAGTTAAAAAACATGAGCATGGTGGTATCAATGCACTAGACTTTGAAGCAATGGTTGGAACATTTAGGACTAAATGGTTAAAAACCTTTTTACAACAACAAAATTCAATGTGGTTTCATATCCCTGCCTCCATTTTTAAACAGCTGGGAGGAATTGACTTCCTTGCAAGGTGTGACTTCGAAGTGACGAAGATTCCAGTTAAACTATCAAACTTCCACAAACAAGTTCTTCAGTTCTGGAAAATGATAGTTCACCATAATTACTCACCTCATGGATCAACCTTGTGGAATAATAGAGCAATCACAGTGGGCAGAAAGTCAATATTTAGAAAAGACTGGTATGAAAAAGGCATCATTTTTGTAACAGACATCTTGGATTGTAATGGAGATCTTTTAAATTTCTCATCTTTTGTTAGAAAATATAACCTTTAACTGCTGCCATAAAGATTTTATGAAGGTATGTAAAGCAATCCCTTTAGCCTTGATTCAGTTAATTAAAAATATCATTATGTATTCAAAGGTGACCGTTTCCATGCCCACATTAAAACTAAATGACTGTAGTTTAGTTGATCTCAAATGTAATAACAAGATGATCAATGAATGCATGCGACAAACGATTTACTATGATTACAACAAAGATTCATTCAAGAAACCTCCCAATATAAATCATAAAACCATAATGACTTCTGCTCATTCAAAATTTGTCAAATGGCCTAAACATCCTAAAGTGAAAGAAAAACATTTTAAAATAATAAATAAGATCTATCCAGTAGCCATGCTTCTGCACAGAAGATTTAAATTTGAGGTGGATTTGTGTACCTTTTGTAAATCTGAAGATGAATCCCTTGAACATTTGTTTTTTTCATGTCAATACTCACAAAGTTTCTGGACTGACATTACAAACTGGATTAATCTAAAACTGAACATGCCTCCCTTTGATGCTGATGCCATTTGATTTTATATGGATAATTTAAGCTCAGCTTACTCTGATGCTATAAATATAGTCATCCTTATAGCAAAGTACCACATTCATTGTAGTAAGTGGAGGGACAATCAGCCCTCCTTCCCGTGTTTTATGAACGAATTCAAGTTGTACTATTCTTCAATGAGTAGATTAAAAAACTGGAAAACTGCTAGAACCATTTCACAACAGATATCAAAAAACTTGTTGTTTTAAGTTTCTCATATTGTTTTGCTCCTTTTTGTTTCTTATGTTTATTCTTTTCATTTAATGTTTTTTATATATGTATTACTCAATTTTCATCATTTTGTAACCCCCCTAGCTTGTAAACTGTAGTTCTGACACCCTTCACGAGTGTTTGTATATATCCTTCTCTTTTGTAGTGTTCTGTAGTTCTGTGTGTTATTAATAAATTAAAAAAATAAAAATAAAAAAAACGTCTCTGCTTCCGCTCGTGTTTCGTTCGTGTTGAACGAGCGCGTGCCTTTAAAAACATGGCAGACGAGGGAAGACGAAGACTTCCCGGGGAGGAGGGCGGGAGGCGGAAGAGGTGTGTTTTCACCGCCTCGAGTTTCCTCCACACGAAGAAAAACACGAAGGACGAAGAAAACAAGGGGGAAGAGTCGAAGTGGGCAAAGTTTAGACCGTTCATCTGCTCGCTCCATGTTTGTTCTGGACTCGGGTTCGGCTGAAACTTGGACACGGAAACAGACGAGTTGAGACCACAGTCCACCTCAAAGCAAACACTGCGCGAGACTCCTGACCCCACCTGAGCGGCTCCGAGACCATCTGCTGATACTTGATCGTCGCCTGGTTCGGTGCGAGGTCCGGATGGGCAACAGCAGCAGTGACCGCTCCAGCGGTGAGAGGTCCTACAGAGATGGACACCCAGGAGGGAAAGAAGCTCGTCCCAACATCATGATGGACAGCACAGAGGACTCGGACCTGTTCCACAGAGACGACCCCAAGGTACCACCCGGGTCCAACTGGACCAGATCAGAGCTCATGAGCTGAGACGAGGACCAGCAGGATTAAATCACAACTAGAGAAACTGCATTTCCTGCAAAAATACAGTGAATGCTTATTGCTGAAGAACAGCTGAACTTAGCTAAAACAAGCTGAAATGTAGCTGAAATGGAAGAACATGTCGACAGAAGAAAGCAGAAAGAACACAGTTGCTGAATTAGGTTTAAATGAGCAAAACAAGTGGAAATTAACTAAAAAGCTGACGTTTGCAAAAACGGCTAAAAAGTAGCTAAAGAAGAAGAAAGAAGCTGAAATTATAAGAAGGAAGTTGAGCGAGCACATTTTTGATGAATTCTGCTGAAAAAAGTTGAAGTGAGTGCAAAAAATAAAATTAGCTGAAAAGCTAAAATTAGCATAAAACATCTGCATAGTAGCTGAAATAATAGATGATAGGGTGCACCGATCTCTACAAGAGATGCTGATTTAGATTTAGTTTTATAATCAACACTGTCAGGTGCTTTAAGTTCACCTTCAGTTTTCCAACATTATTTTATTGTAAAACAGACCCTCGAACAATAAACTAGAACAATACAAACTTCATTTAACTGGCCAGTGCGCTGAAATATAAATGAAGTTCAGACAATTGTTGTTAAAACTTAAAAAAAAATCTGTAAAATTGGTTTCTCATGTAAGTATCGACCGATTTCTGATTCGAGCCGATAAATCAGCCGGTGCACCCCAAACAGAAAACGCTGAAATGAGCAGAAATAAGCTGAAAGGAGTACAAAACAGCTGAAAGTAGCTGAAAAAAATGTTTAAATTTGCTCAGTTTAGTTTTGTTCAGTTCATTTTCTACGAGGGAAAAAAAATGGCAGACAAGGCTAAATATTTCAAAAAGCAGAAGTCATAGCAGAATTGTTGCGAACGAGCTGAACGTTTTGATACGATTTGATGCTTGAACTCTGCAGGACGAGAACCGCGCCTGTGGAAGAAAAATGGATCACAATAGTGTTACTGCTTTATAAGCATTCACAAAATAAATGTCAGAATTAAAGGAAGCAACTTCACAATAAAAATAATTTATATATTCATGTTGAATAATCTTTATTATCCCCACGGGACAATTAGTTTCACAGTCAGTAGGCACAAGAACATCCGTACTACACAAGACATTGAGACGTTAAAATAACAGAAGTTATCTCTGTTCGTTGAGGAGCCTGAGCACCACAGGGATAATGGAGGTTTCTAGTCTGTTTGTTCTATATTAATCAGATACTTGTGTCCAGATGGAAGGAACCTGAACTCACCATGGAGGGGGTGATCAGGATCTGCCAGAATCAGCCTGGCCTTGTTCACGGACCTCACCTTGTGTAGGTCAGTGAGGTTCTGAACGGCGATGCCAGCGGTGTTGCTGCACATCCTGATAATCCCCGACAGTTTGTTCCTGTTTTTGCATGTGACAATTTTGGCTCAGTGGTTAGCACTGTTGCCTCACAACAAGAAGGTCCTGGGTTCAATCCCCGGTTGGACCTGGGGTCTTTCTGTGTGAAGTTTGCATGTTCTTCTTGTGCTTGCGTGGGTTTTCTCCGGGTACTCCGGTTTCCTCCCCCTGCATGTTAGCCTGCCTTCAGACCCAGGTCTCCCTCTCAATAGAGACCTGATCTCAGTGGGACTGGTTAAATAAAGGTTAATAATAAAATAAAAATAAATCAGCAGATGAAGGTGAAAGTTAAAAGAGACTCAATAAAACACGAATAAAACATTCTCATAAAAGCAGAATCGACATTAAAACATCAGATAAAAATGCATTCTCTGGTGGGACTTCTTACACAGTAAGGTCACATGGGGGTCAAAGGTCAGTTTGTCATGGAGAACACTTCCCAGATGTTTATATTGATGTACCACCTCGACAGCTTCACCGTTAATGACCACAGGAGCTGCAACTGAAGAGTCTTTTCTGAAATCAATGACCGTCTCCTTTGTCTTAGAAACGTTTCACTGAAAACATTATTTTTATTGTTATTGGACCTGAACATGTTCTGCACCCTCTCCTTATCGTTCACTCTCATTTTAATTCTTTCATCACTTGTATGTGGTATTGAGTCAAATCCCTCTGTTTGAAGCTAATGTGCAAATTTATTGTTTTTTTTTTTAACTGATTTGGAGATCCAAGGTTTATTGTTGGCAAAAATGATGACAGATTATGATAATGACAGATTATGACAATGACAGATTATGACAATGACAGATTATGATAATGACAGATTATAATGACAGATTATGATAATGATGACAGATATTGCAGCATGTTGTGGAAAAATGCAAAGTCAGTAGCTTCAAACTACTAAAACATTTAAAGTATAGTAAGTTTTGCTCACCTATATTTAATGTAAATAAAAAGCATAATTAAACCAATAAAAACTTTAAACGGATCTTTAATTTAAAAACTTCCAGTCTGAGAGTAGCAACATAAATTTGATTCAGACATGTTTGATGTATTTGTAAGATGTAATATTGTCTGATTTAGTTTGTGACATCTGATTACACCAGTTTGATCTGTGGCAACTGTTTAAGTCCAGCAAACAGAACTTCTGTAAGTTTAGAGATTATTTTAGATGGCATAAAATCAAATCGTTTAAAGATGATTTGATTGTCCTTCCTGAGGCAAAGCTAAATTTAGTAGAAATGCTGGTCAAAAACCAGTAAAATGTCTCAGGTTAAGCACTTCTAATAGATGCAGCCCATTTTAAAAACACTTATGATCTTATTTATTGAGTTTATATACAACATGTGCCTTCTGCACAATCATCTGCATGTCAGGGCAGACAGCTGACAGATGCATCTTGTGTTAAAACGTTTTTTCCCAGACATTTAAATGAGATCAAACTGGATTTAAGGTCAGACATGTAAAACAGACACTTTTCGTGCACACTGGAGTTTTGAAATGGCAAAAAGTCAAACCCTGAGTAGCAACAAAGTTCACTCCAGATGAAGCAATCTGATGACACGAGCCTGTTTCAGGAGGAATTATATATATATATA